CGTGTAGTGATGATGATGATGATGATGATGCTGATGATGATGATGATGATGATGATGATGGTGATCGTGCGTTGGTGATGATAATGAGGGGTCGTGCGATACTGATGGCGATGATGATGGTGATGATGATGATGATGATGATGATGATGATGATGATGATGATGATGATGATGATGATGATGATGATGATGGTGATGATGCGTGGGGAGTGATGGTGATGATGATGATGAGGAGGAGGAGGAGGAGGAGGAAGCAAGGAGGAGGAGAGGAGAGGGAGGAGGAGGAGGAGGAGAGATCCTGCGCGAAGGGTGTGCAGAGAAAACAAGAACCCCACTACATATTAATCGCACTGGATCGTGAAGGCTGAAGGCTTGAGAAGATTATGGTAACATCAGCTGGTTTGTACCGCATAGTGTTTTGTTCCAACTCTCCTGTGTTGGAGTCTCGCTTTGAATGCAGCTCTGTGGTATCCACTCCTTCTCATTATCCTCCCTCCTCATGCCTCCTCCTGCGCTGCTCCATTGGTGGCTGTGAACTGCGCCATTGTCGCTACTTTCGTTGGTTCCTGGGAGGTCCAGCGGAGCAGCGGCGTACGCACGCCAAGCCAAGACCTCGCAGCTCCCTGGGGGGCTGCGAGCTGCGCAACCGTCGCCACTTTCGTGGGTTCCTGGGATGCACGGCGGAGTAGGTGAGCACGCGCACGCAGCCGGGGACCTCGCAGCCGCATGGGGGGCGCAAGCTTCGCCACTCTTCGTGGGCTCCTCGGAGGCCCGGCGGAGTAGGGGAGTACGCGCACCCAGCCGAGATTTCGTAGTTCCTAGGGGGGGTGCGAATTGCGCAACCGACGCCACTTTCGTAGGCTCCTCGGAGGCAATGCGAAGTAGGGGAATACGCGCAGGCATCCGAGACCTCGCAGCTCCATGGGGGACTGCGAACTGCGCAATTGCCGCCACTCTCGTGGGCTCCTGGGAGGTCCAGCGAGGTAGCAGCGTACGCACGCCAAGCCGAGACCTCGCAGCTCCCTGGGTGGCTGCGAACTGCGCTATTGTCGCTACTTTCGTTGGTTCCCGGGACGCACGGCGGAGTGAGGGAGTAGCAGCTCCCTGGGGGGCTGCGAACTGCGCAATTGCCGCCACTCTCGTGGGCTCCTGGGAGACACCGCGGAGTAGGGGAGTACACGCACCCAGCCGAGACTAGGGCTTAAACGTTAGGGTCTCGAGCTAAGGGCTTGGGGCTCAAGCCTTAGAGCGTGGGGCCGAGGGCTTAGGGTTCAAAGCCTGGGATAGGTTGTTAGGTCTTAGGACTTACGGCTTACGGCTGGGGCTTAGGGCCTAGGGGCTGAGGGCTTAGAGCTTAAGGCTTAGGGGTTCGAGCTTAGGGGTTATATTCCGGGCGTTCGGGTGTTAGGCTTAGGAAGTTAGGGTTAGGGGGTTATGATTAGGGTGTTAGGTGTTAGGCTTAGGGTGTTTGGTTTAGGGTTTTACCGTTAGGGTGTTAGGCTGAGGGGGGTTGGGTTCGGGTGTTAGGGCCAGGGTGTTAGGGTCAATGTGTTAGGGTTCGGATTAGGGTATTAGTGTGTTGGTGCTCGGGTCAGGGTGTTACGCTTAGGGCGGTAGGGTTCGGGTTAGGGCGGTAGGGTTCGGAGTAGGATGTCAGGGCCAGGTAGGGGTAGGGTGTTAGGATTCGGTTGTTAGAGTTAGGGCGGTAGGGTTCTGGTTAGGGTGTTAGGGTTAGGGCTTACGGCTCATGGCAGTAGGGTTCGGGTTAGGGTATTAGGTTTCGGGTGTTAGGGTTAGGGCGTTCGAGTGTTAGGATTAGGGTGTTAGATTTAGAGTGTTCGGGTTTGGGTGTTAGGCTTAGGGTGTCACGTTCAGGGTAGGGTTTTGGGGGTTAGGGTTAGGGCGGTAGGGTCAGGGGATAGAGTTCTGGAGCTAGGGGGTCGGCGTGGCCAAAGGGAGGAGGGGCGGGGTTTGATTTTTGAGTCCAAAGGGGGAGGGGCGGAGGGGTTCAACACCCCCCCCCCGTTTTGAAAGAGAGGGTGGGGGTCCGGGACGAGGGATCGGGAAAGGGGGGTGGAGGGGGGGTCCCAGGACGACGGACCGGGGAAAGGGGGTGAGGGGGGGGGGCCCCGGACCCCCCCCCCCCTTGGGGCATCCAGCGGCGCGCCCTCACTGTTTCGACTGCTGCGTGTTATTTGTTGGATTATCTTGCGTCTGAGGCTATTCGAATCCAGGCGGGTGCACTGCCTCAGATCGGTCTGCAGACCGATGCGACCAGCAAGCGGCGGGCTGCACGATCGTCCCCAGCTGCATATACTGCGAGCCTAGGCTCTGCGTTTACGAGACGGTGGAATCCTTCCCCGCATTGCGCTAGACCCACTGGTAAACGAAAGCCAGGAGAAGTGGCTCCTCAGAGAGCGAAGCCGACATCTCTACAAGCTGATGGGCCATGCCCATGGACCACGAGGCGCCGCATGCATAGATCACCACGTCTCCAACGGAGACGCGAGTGTGCTCATTCACGCGCGCGTGCCTGCTCAGCTGGAAGCACACGCTGCCCTCAGGAGCGCGCTCTACGCCGAAACCCTCGCGGAACGCACCAACCTCCGCCTGCTGGGCGCCTTCGCCGGAGCCATGAGCGACATCTCTATGTCACACTCGTCGTCGGGCATCGCGAACAGACGTTCGCAGGTGACGTCCCTGAGGACGGACTTGTCCCAGCTGCACGGCTTGCTAGGAGCGGAGCTGTTGAATTGGTGGTTGCCGCACTTCTTGACCGCCGTGTGCTTCAGCTCTAGCGACCAGCACGTCAGCAGCGAGTCGGGCGCACCGAGACCCGGCGAACCGACTCCGGCGAACCGGGCTGGGCGAACCAAGCCCCGGCGAACCGAGTTCCAGCGAACCCGAACCGAGTTCCAGCGAACCGAGACTCCGGCGAACCGAGTCCGTATGCCTTTTGAGGAGCCCCGCCGCCTTCTGAGAAGGCCTACGCCCCATCACTTCACCCCTGGGTTCACCGCTGAGGTGTGGAGGGTGGAGACGGAGATCCCCAGAGGCCCCCACAGCGCCCAAAGTAGCAAGCAACAGGGCGTATCATAAGAGACGCGCGATCTTCGATCCTCGATATCTGCTGCCCGAGCCCCTCCGTCGCCACCGCCTCACCACACGGGGCCCCGTCCGCCGAGTGTGCCCCTCGCTCCTCCCGTTCCGTCTTTCTCTTCGACTCTGCGCGGTCCGTCCCCACTTCGGGAAGGAGCGAAAATTATGAGAAGGAGAAGAGGAGGATCAGGAATCGGTTTTTGATTGTGCGTATTTCCAGCCTCCATGGATGGGTGGCTCGCGAAACTTTGGAGACCCCCCCAGAGATCCTCGGATACCTTCAAAGAGGAGGAGGGGGAGAAGGGGGAGGAGGAGGAGGAGGAGGAGGAGGAAGAGGAGGAGCAAGAGGATGAGGAGGAGAGAAGAGAAGAGAAGAGAAGAGAAGAGAAGAGAAGAGAAGAGAAGAGAAGAGAAGAGAAGACAAGACAAGAGAAGAGACAAATGAGGACAGGTTCTGAGGAGGAAGGGGAGGAGGAGGGGGAGGGAGAGGAAGAGGACGGAGAGGAAGACATGCAAAATTGAGCCGGCGGTTTAACACAGCACCCCCTCCCCCGTGATCAAATTTTAAAGTATCCCCATCGATGGGCCTCGCCTCGAGGAAGAGGCAGGACTGGCAGGATTAACGACGACGAGGGCCCACTTGACCAGCTTCTTCTCGAGGACATCCTCCAAACGGGGGCACTTTCGGGGCCTAGCCGCTCCTGAGAGATTCTGAGAAGCAATATCTGAAGGCGCAGTTTCGGTTGTGGCACGGGTCGCTTCTGAGGACGTCCACTATCTGTACGTCGGCTTGGCCAGACGGCATGCCCCCGACCTTGATGCACTTTCTCCGCCTCCTGGGCACCGTTGCTTCCAAATGCTAAGACGCTGGTGCCACCGCCCGCCCCCTTTTGATGTGGAGAGCACATGGCGTTTTGGATTTGATCAGGCGTGGGGCAATATTTACCTGTCTTTTGGGGGGGCGGTCTCTCAGGGGCGCTTGCTGTGAGGGGGATATCCCCCGGAAAACTACAGAGACATACCAGGCAATTAACAGCGATAGGCAGTAAGTACCACGTGCTCCGACGTGCCGAGGCACAGTGGCGGATCTATATGTTTCATCCGTCGTTCTGTTCAGAGTTTCTCTAGCCAACCTCTTGGGCAAAGGAACCTTCATCAAAGGCCACAATTCGAAAGCACCATCATTCCACACGTCGTTGGCTTGCTGGGATCCCGTCGGGGGTCCTGGGGCCGTCTTTGGCGCGATGGTTCCACAGAGTTCTCCTGAAGAGGCTCGGTCGACGCATTTGGTGACGTCTTGGCGGGTCTTCGGCCTGTCTTGGAGCCCTCTTGGGCCGTTTTGAGAATTTTCTGGCAGTACTGGGGCTGCCTTGAGGCGCTCTTCGGGCCATCTTGAATAGTATCAGTTTTTCTAGCTCTCAAGAACTTGCCCGAGGCGATCTGAAGCCGGAAAGGCTCGCAAGAGAAAACTCGGATGCTCGTGAGTTATGTACTTCTGCAATGTGTCACTTCTGAGGCCCTTGCTGGAGGCCTTTGCTGGGTTCTCTGGGAGACTCCTTGGTGCTTCTCGGGCCACCCTGTGAGATGTTGGAGCACTGTTTCAGCTCGCTGGGCCTTCTAACGATGGTCCTCTGGTGCCTTGAAGCCGTTTAGGGGTTATCATTGGCTGTCTCGAAACCGTCTAGTGGACAAAAAGGGCGAACGGAATCAAACAGGGGCAGGGCGGCGTTCTGCGATGAGCGAGGGGGATCGGCCTTAGAGAAAGACCGAGCTCCCACCAGACAGCCGAAATGATTATTACACGTTCCAGAGTACCTCTGGCACAGTGGCGGGTTGTAGCCACCCTGGGACCAGGCACACTTCGAAGTTTCCAGGTTTGAGTTCATAGATCAATCAGCGCATCAGAAACGTACAATGTATTACGTGAGTCTTCAATGTGGTCATATGTAAGCGTACCTCCACCGTCTGCCACATAAAGCCCGCTTCCCCTCAGGAGACATCCTGATCGCTCGGGACGTCACTCTTGACAGGCACCTCCGTCGCATTTTGGCACAACCAGTTTATCAGCTATCAGGTTTTACTCCTCTTTCAACCGTTCCGCGCATTCCGCCAGCCCATCAGTCAGAGCAACGTTGATGCAACGAGACAAGACTGGAGAGAGGAGAAGGGCTCATGGGAGGGATGTCGGGGAGACGCAGAGTGAGACAAGAGGACCACATTATCATGGGAGGCCGAGACGCACGCCATGCTTGCACCATGGTGTGGTCTGGTATGCTCCTTGTTTGATGTGTGTTGCTCTGATCTGTTCCAGTCTATTGAAGGCGCTTCACGTTCACCGTGTCCGCCCGTCCTAGCCATCACCAGACGAGCTGAGCGCAACCCAACGATTATCGGAATACATGTCGGACTAAGTCCAATGTGACCTCGCATGAGGCCACGGCGGCCCGAAGGCGAGCCACACTGCCCAGAGGCTGCCCAAGAGCCAAGCGACACCCAAACTATGTCAAACAAGGGCCCAAGAAAGGCCCGATGCTGTACCGAAGGACTTCCAGACGGTCCAAACGCGAGCATCCCTTGTGGCTTGGCAGCAGGAGCACTTTGTTGTTTGTTTTGGCCTTCCCTCCCCCGCCTCCTGCGTTTCGCCCGTTGCGGGCGACGGTGAAGGCGCTGCGGTATCTGGGGGAGGGCTGCTTTCCCTTCTCTGTCCATCTCTTTTCTCGTGTGTCTCGCTCTCTCTCTCTCTCTTCCTCTCTCTCTCCATGGAGGCTTCTTGAGCACGCGCGCCTTATTTTTCAACGCTGGAATCAATTACTCCAGTGTAGTGTCGGCCCGTTCGGAGTCCTCTTGCTGCTGTGGGCGCGCGCATCCCCATGGCCACCGAGTTGGGACCCAAGTTGGGTCCACAATCGTCAAAGGAGTAAGTCCCAGATCGTATCCGAGATGGCTTAGAAGTGGTCCATGATCGAGAATGTCGCAGACGAGCTCGAGAAGCTGCCCTAGGCGAGCCCACTCCAGGCGAAAATCAGGACATCGTCAAGGGTGGTTGCTATGTTTTGACCAGCTTCCAGCCCATTGGCGGTGCTGGCCCGATGAGGCGTGCTATGGGACCCAACGAGTCGAACTGGAAGGCCAAGGGGGGAGGGAAGCCAAGAGGGATCGTGATTGAGGGAAAAGCAAGTCCAGTGGGTGTTGGGGATGACGTTCGATCTCGTCTTCGACGCTGTCTTGGAGCCGCCTTGGGCCCCCCAATACTGGGATGGGCTGCAGCCTGTCGCCCCTGGGCGACCGGATGGCGGAGGCTCTTAGGTGGAATAACGAGAGGGGGTCAAAGACCTAAGAGGAATTTTCGAAGCTATGTTCCACATGCTCATCAGCCCGGTGGGCGGGCGGAGTCTAGAGGCTTACAGTCAGACATTTTGGCTGGGCGTGTCGCGCCGCCGGTTCTGGCCCACCACGACTCGGCGCGACACGGTATCCACGTTCCCGTCCCCGAGCGTCAACGTCTCGAGCTGTTCTCAGATTCCCGCCCCGCGGAGCGGAGCGTTTTTCTACCCGTTTGCAAGGGCATAGCGTGTCGCCGGGGCCGCCGCCGCGACACTTTATGCAAAAGTTCCCGACCGTATGTTCCACATGCCCCTCAGCCAGGTGGGCGGGCAGATTCTAGAGGCTTGTGTACGTCATTCCGTTGACCCACCGCAGTCGGGGATTAGTGACGATGTCATGGGATTGCTTGTTGCTGGTTGATGGCGCCGTGGAATTAAGCAGGAGAAAGATGAGGAAGCGTGAGATGATGCGGATAAGAAGGACGAGGACGATGAGGAGCGTGGGATGGGGAGGAGTATCAGGCGAAGTTTTGAAGGTGGTAGGGGGTGAAGACGCATGATATTCAGATCATGTTTTGGAAAACATCATGTTTGAGTCTGGGCGCGTCCTGGCCATTTGAGCGTGCGGACGGGCCTTGGTTGGCCTCTGCGCTCGTACGTCCGAACAATGCGGACGGGGTAGGGGGGGGCGATTCAGGGGCTTTCGTGGGCTCTCTTGGAGCATTCTCAGAGATTGGTTGGGCCCCTGAAACTTTTTGGGCGTTTATTGAGCTGCTCTCAGGGGTCTGTTGTTCTTAGTTCGAACTCTTTGGGGGCCCATTGAGGCTGGTTGGCGGTCTCCTGAAAACATGTGGGGTCCCTCTCTGGGTCCGTTGAAGTTGTTTTGGTGTTTGTTGGGCAGGATCTTCTTACAGTCGTTCTCTTCAGATTGTAGTGGCCTCCAGCCAGTGCCGCCGATCCGGGGCGCTCCGACTGATGTGATCCTCCTTCGCCCTCGTCCCTCCTCTCTTTTTCCCTCCCTCCCCTTCTCACTCTGCATTTATCTAAGACGCCTACGGCGAATCACCGCCGCCCCCTGCCTTTTTGGAAGCGCCTATGTGGCCGAACGTTGAGGCCAGACCTGCCAAGCCATCGGACCATGTGTTCCCCGAATCGGTTTGGAAAGCCTTCGGGGAACACGTGGGCATCTTGAAGGTCATCGTGGCCGTCTTGGAGGCCTCTTGGGCGATCTTTCGGCGATCTTTGGGGGCTCTTGGGCCGTCTCGGGCCGTCGGAAGGCCGAAAAGAAGGAAATGCCAAAATCCGTCAAAACCTAAGGAAAATCAATGTTTTTGGCATCTTCTGGCCTTCCTGGAGGCCCTCTTGGGGGCCTCTTGGGCCATCTTGGGCCAGCTTCGAGCCAACTTCGGCCATCTTGGTGGGTTCCTGGCACGTCTGACGCCGTCGGGAGCCGTCTTGGGGGCCTTTTCTGGGCCAACGGGGGACCCTCTTGGGGCGCTTCGGGGCCGTCTTGGAGGCCATCTTGGCGTCTTGGAGGCCATCGTGGGCGTCTTGGAGGCCTCTTGGGCCGTCTTGGGGCCCTCTTGGGGCCATCTTGGAGGCCACTTGGGCCGTCATGGGGCCCTCTTGGGGGCCTCTTGGGCGATCTTGGGGCCTCTTGGGCCGTCTTTACCCGTCGGAATGCCGAGAAGAAGCAAATTCCAAAACCCTTCAAAAACCTTAGGAAAATCAATGGTTTTGGCACCTTCGGGCCCTGCTGGAGGAGCTCTTGGAGGGCTCTTGGGCCGTCTGGGAGGCCTCTGGGGGGCCTCTTGGGCCGTCTCGGGCCGTCTTGAACTCTCTGAGGCCGTCTTGGAGGCCGTCTTGGACCATCTTGGGCGGACTTGGAGGCCATCTGGGACCGTCTTGGAGGTCATCCTGGCCGTCTTGTGTGGCCGAACGTTGAGGCCAGACCTGCCAAGCCATCGGACCATGTGTTCCCCGAATCGGTTTGGAAAGCCTTCGGGGAACACGTGGGCGTCTTGAAGGTCATCGTGGCCGTCTTGGAGGCCTCTTGGGCGATCTTTCGGCGATCTCTGGGGGCTCTGGGGGCTCTTGGGCCGTCTCGGGCCGTCGGAAGGCCGAAAAGAAGGAAATGCCAAAATCCGTCCAAAACCTAAGGAAAATTAATGTTGTTGGCCTCTTCTGGCCTTCCTGGATGCCCTCTTGGGGGCCTCTTGGGCCCTTTTGGGCCAGCTTCGAGCCAATTTCGGCCATCTTGCTGGGTTCCTGGCACTCTGACGCCGTCGGGAGCCGTCTGGGGGGCCTTTTCTGGGCCAACGGGGGACCGCGCTTCGGGGCCGTCTTGGATGCCATCTTGGCCGTCTTGGAGGCCATCGTGGGCGTCTTGGAGGCCTCTTGGGCCGTCTTGGGGCCCTCTTGGGGCCATCTTGGAGACCACTTGGGCCGTCATGGGGCCCTCTTGGGGGCCTCTTGGGCGATCTTGGGGGCCTCTTGGGCCGTCTTGACCCGTCGGAATGCCGAGAAGAAGCAAATTCCAAAACCCTTCAAAAACCTAAGGAAAATCAATGGTTTTGGCCTCTTCGGGCCCTCCTGGAGGAGCTCTTGGAGGGCTCTTGGGCCGTCTGGGAGGCCTCTGGGAGGCTTCTTGGGCCGTCTCGGGCCGTCTTGAACTCTCTGAGGCCGTTTTGGAGGCCGTCTTGGACCATCTTGGGCGGACTTGGAGGCCATCTGGGGCCGTCTTGGAGGTCATCCTGGCCGTCTTGTGTAGCCGAACGTCGAGGCCAGACCTGCCAAGCCATCGGACCATGTGTTCCCCGAATCGGTTTGGAAAGCCTTCGGGGAACACGTGGGCGTCTTGAAGGTCATCGTGGCCGTCTTGGAGGCCTCTTGGGCGATCTTTCGGCGATCTCTGGGGGCTCTTGGGCCGTCTCGGGCCGTCGGAAGGCCGAAAAGAAGGAAATGCGAAAAATCCGTCAAAAACCTAAGGAACATCAATTCTAGACGCTTCGCGTATCCCCACCAGCTTTCCTCGACCTGGCGTTGCGTGGGTTGCGAGGCGTTGGCTGTCACTTAGTCGTTTGGTACACGCCCACTTCCGATTGGCCGTGTGTCCCTCTGTTGGTGGGTACCCGTGTACTTCTGCACTGCGGCACACCATATCTCTGGTCTCCTGCGTGCAGGCGCATCTCTCAGCAGTTGCTGTGAGGTTGTCTCAGTTGTCTTTGACCTCTGGCTCACCCTATCAGCCGCGGATGCGTTTTCTGAAGCTGCGACGGTTCGCTGGCGCTGTCAGAATCCCCCTCCTTGCTGGACGACGTCAGCTACGCTTTCGGTCTGCTCATACTCGACAGACTCCCTGGGCTGGCTTTCTCGCACGGAGTCTGGTTCCCACCACCATGCGGTTGTCGGTTGTCACGACCATGACTGGGAACGTACGGCGCGCCATTTTGGCCGCGTCCGCTTTGCTTCCTGGGTGACTGACCCCTCAGACTCCCTGGGTTGCAGCTTGCACGACCGCCTGGCCTCTCAGACGCCCTGGGTTGCTGCTTGCCCCGCCGCCTGATCCGCGGCCCCCGCGCGCGCCCGGGAATTCGTCACGGCCGCAGCCCGACCGTGACTGCTCGCCGCCGGCGCTTCCGCCTGCGGCTTATATATATATATATATATATTATATATATATATATATATATTTATATATATATATATATATATATATATATATATATAACACAAAAAAATCCCCACCAGCCCGTCCAGAAACGACGCCCAGGCGAGTAGAGGGTCGTCCTGAGGGGCTTTTCGGCGTCTTGGGTGCCTCGGGGGGGCCTCTGTGGGCCGTTCGGGATCCTCTTTGGGGCCTCCTGGGGGCCTCTTGGGGCCATCTTGGGGCCTCTTGGGGGTCTCTTGGGGGCCTCCTGGGGGCCTCTTGGGGGGCCTCTTGGGGCCATCTTGGGGCCATCCTGCGGCCTCTTGGGGCATCCAGGGGGCCTCTTGCGGCCATCGTGGAGGAAATCGATCAAAGAAGATGGGAGCCTTAATTAGCGGTGCCCCCTGAGAAGGCCAAAATGGGGCCAAAACCATAGTAAAATCAATGTTTTGGGCTTCCTCGCCGAGGCCGTTTTGGACGCTCTGACCGCTCCCCGCCCCTCCTGTCCAGGTCAGTGGGGAGGAGGTCGGGGGAGGGGTAAACCCCTCCCCGAAGGGGAAGAGGGAGGGGTGGAAGAGGAAACGCTCTAAACCACCGACGCCCAGAGGGCTGGTGGGACTGTTGTGGCTTATTCTGGCCTTCCTGGAGGCCCTCTTGGGGGCCTCTTGGGCCCTTTTGGGCCAGCTTCGAGCCAACTTCGGCCATCTTGCTGGGTTCTTGGCACGTCTGACGCCGTCGGGAGCCGTCTTGGGGGCCTTTCTGGGCCAACGGGGGACCGCGCTTCGGGGCCGTTTTGGAGGCCATCTTGGCCTGGAGGCCATCGTGGGCGTCTTGGAGGCCTCTTGGGCCGTCTTGGGGCCCTCTTGGGGCCATCTTGGAGACCACTTGGGCCGTCATGGGGCCCTCTTGGGGGCCTCTTGGGTGATCTTGGGGGCCTCCTGGGCCGTCTTGACCCGTCGGAATGCCGAAAAGAAGCAAATTCCAAAACCCTTCAAAAACCTGAGGGACATCAATGGTTTTGGCCTCTTCGGGCCCTCCTGGAGGACCTCTTGGAGGGCTCTTGGGCCGTCTGGGAGGCCTCTGGGGGCCTCTTGGCCCGTCTGGGGCCCTCTTGGACTCTCTTGGGCCGTCTTGGAGGCCGCTTTGGACCATCTTGGGCGGACTTGGAGGCGATCTTGGACCATCTTGGAGACCATCTTGGGCCATCTTGGCCATCTTGGAGGCCATCTTGGAGCCGTCTGGGGCAGAAAATTGGGGAAGTGAGGTCCGTGGAAAAAGTCCCGGGACCCCGGCGGGACGGGCCGAAACCCATTGGGAGAGTTCTTTTGGAAAAAGAACCAAAACCAAAACCGATAGGATTTAGCACGCCGGGCACCCCTTTGCTGAAGCAAAAGGGGGCGGCGGATCTAGTGGCCTTCGGCCTGTCCCGCCACCGTGCCTGGGTGGTGGGTCGGAGGCCTCATGGATGTTGGTTGGGATCTCGTGGTTGGCCTCTTCGGAGCCTCTGGGAGGCAGTGTTGAGACCCCCCCGTGCCTCTTGGGCAGTTGCGTTGCTTCTCGGGGCCACGTTGGGGCCTCGTTGGGGCCTCTTGGGGCTTTTTGGGGGCCTCTTGGGAGCTTCTCGGGGCCTCTTGGGGGCCTCTTGGGAGCTTCTTGGGGCGGGAGGGGGGGGTACTCGAGTTCGGGACCCCCTTCGAAGGCCACGATCCTCGTGAGAGGTGTCAAAAAATGCCCTCCCCAGAGACACGCGGGTAGCCGCGACAAGCCTAGGAGCCCCTCCGGAAAGCGGAGCACAACTCGCCCCCCCCTCTGAAAGTAACGCTGGTGCAGGCAGTATCCTCCATTCCTCCCCTTTCCGTCTCTGCCTCTCCCCCTGCTGCTGCTTGCCGCGTCTCACCTTTTCTTCCACCGCCCATCCTGGCTCAAGGGATTGGTGGGCGGGTTTTTCACGAGACCCGGCGTGCCGGGAGACGGCCGCGCATAGGGGTGCACGGCGCCTGATATTGAGAGAGAAGGAAAACAGGTTTTCTCCAGTATTGACATTGCGATTATCAAGATAATCGTTCACAGCACTTTGTGCATTGGCACTGAGCTCATCGAGAATTGCACCATCAGCGTCATAGAGACCCTGTAGAGCTCTGTGGGATTCAGATTGGTAGCGGAGCTTGTGGAACGGCTCCACGGGTTTCCACCAGTCTCGCCTCGAGATGGCGACGTCGTCCACCACGCAGCAGGTCGATGTTCCCAGCTGGGACGGCGATGCGGACAAGTTGTCAAACTACAGGTTCGAGGTGTCGATGTTTGTAAAATCGTTCAAGACAGCGGACCGGAACGCGTGTGGTCCACAGCTGGTGCGAGCACTGGACCGAGAGTCCGCCTAGCCGTCGAGGCGTGCCCGAAGATCGACGAGGTCGACACGAGACGGCAAGCTCACCGGCTGGGAGGCGGTCTCAGTTTCATGCTCGACAAGTTGGACTACACGAGCCTGGACGGCACGGGCTTGCTGGCGGAGGAGTTCTTCCTGAAGCTGAACCGGAACGTGGAACGTGGGGGAGACGTTCCAGGACTGGGCCGCCCTGTCCGAGAAGAAGGAGCGAGAGCTGCTCACGCAGCTCAGGGCCATAGACAGCGACGTCGAGGAAGTCAGTGCGAAACCGTTACGCGCGTGGCGGTTGTTGAGGAAGTCCAGATTAACTCCAGTTTCGAGGAGGGAAGTCACAGCTACTTCCGGCGGTGATTACAAGTTTGCCAAGACCTACAAGACGTTGCAGACCCGTTTTCCAGCGGAAGCGTTGGCCGAGCTCGACGACAGGAAGAAGGAGCGAGCCTTATTCGAAGACGAACCAGGACACGACGGAGGCGAGGCTGGTGATGAAGAAGATGAAATATATTACGTGGTCGAGCAGCTGATTAATTCTGATGAAGAGGAATATGATACCGAGGAAGAAGTTGCTGACCACGAAGCAGACAACGAGGTGTTTGCTCAATTCCGACAGGCTGGCCGGAGCTTCAAGGACGCACGGGACTTGATGCGCTGGCTGCGTGTCTCGAGAGACTACTACCCGGCTGTGGCGACCCGCGAGGACGGAGACCGCCGCCCTCTTCCCCCGAGGCCGCACTCGGAGGGCAGGCCCTAGGGTGGCGGCAAAGGCCGCGGACGGTCTGACCGCCGGGTCAGAGTCGAGGGCGACCGGGACATGTCGAAGATGAAGTGCATCAGCTGTAAGCAGTTCGGGCATCGGGCACGGGACTGCCCTCAGAGGAGACGCGATGGCGGACGCCCGAAGAATTCCTCGACCCACAGAGGCTTCATCCTCTCCGCCCTAGACGAGCACGTGTACATGCTGGAGCGCGACGGGATCTGGGCCGTCCTGGATATCGGCGCGACCCGGAGCCTGGGCGGGGCGGAGAACATCGAGAACCTCGCGTACGAGATGCTGGATCAGCACGACGCGGAGTGCGAGGCACACGATGACACCTGGCGACGGGCTGCAGAAAAGCTCGATTGGCGCCGTGAGCGGGAAAGCCTTCCTTGGACCTGAGCTGCGGGACATCCACCTCTCCGTGATGCCGAATCGGGTCCCCCTTCTGATCGGGGTGGACATCTTGACCGACGACCTGAAGGTGGTGGTAGACTGCGGTCGGAACTGGTCGGGCCTCCCGACCCTGGGCAACAGGGCCTTCTACTGCGAGCGGCTCTCCAGCAAGCACCTGGCGATCAACCTTTCCTCGCCGCAATGGTGGAATGATGTGCCGCTCTCGCTGTCCTGGGGACCGGGCGTCGTTGTCAACGCGGCCAAGAGCGAGCCGGAAGTATTGGGGAAGCACCCCGAGCCGGCGGTTGACGGGTGCTGCTGTACCTTGGCCGTGCGCTGGGGACAGCACCCCCTGGTGATGGTTGCGAGTGAAGAATCACCCTCATCACCACCAGGTTCATCGGGGGTGCCTAGAGAAGAGGGCACGAAATGTCGACGAGCCTGGCCAGGACATCAACCTTTCCCAGGATTTCGAGTACCACGAAACAAACGATGTCGAGCAGTACGTCCGGAACCCCAAACGCGTCGTCAACGAGAAGACCACGACGCATCGGAAAGTTTGAAACAGCGAAGTGACACAATAATGTCAGAGACGGCAGGGCCAACGACAATCGGCGCGGGGATCCCCGGGAGCCAACGACTGGGATCCCGAGGTTCGACGTTGAGCGCGAGAACCTGCAGGACGGACTGCGAGACCTCGAAATGTTCGATGAATTGTTGTAGGCAGCCCACTTCGGCTCAAACGACTCGGACAACGGTGCACCGGCAGCTCGTCAGTTTCATTTCCTACATATCCGGCCCAGGCGGACCCAGCACCAGTGGACGCGATGCAGCGGCGCTTCCTCTGGACCTTCTTCGGAGCCGCCGCCGCTGCATGCCGCAGTCGCGGCCGGAGTGGGCAAGGCGAGGGGCAGCGCCCCCATGTCGCCGCCAGCCGGAGCCCCAGCGACTCCAACAATAGCGCAGCCGCAGGCCGGAGCTCCAGCGACTCCGGCCTCGGCGCCGCCCACTCCAAGTGCGGCGCGTCCGACGACCTCGCCGGGGCACCAGCGTCGAGCTACAACCCAGCCGGGAAGTGCTCATGCTGCGGAGCCGCGGGCAGGACCAAGCGGAGGTGCAGCTGCTTCGGCGGGAAGAGCCACCAGCGCCTGCGCCTCCTCGCCCCGCAGCGCGCCCCAGGCACGTCGGTCTACCTCATCCCAGCGACCCCGGCTTCCGCGGCAGCGGCCGCAGCGGGCCCAGCGGTCGCGCAGACCCCAGCGACGCCCCCAGCGGCGCCCCCTCGGTCGAAGTGCTCGTGCTGCGGGGCACCGAGCAGGACCGCCCGGGGATGCAGCTGCAAGGGCGGGAAGAGCCACCAGCGCCTGAGGGAACAGCTGGAGCGGCTGGACCAGGACATCCGGGGCACGGCCGCGGCATTACGCTGGAGGCGCGTGGCATCGAAGCTGACCAACAAGGGCCCAGAGGATTGGGACTGCATCTCCGTGCCAAGCAGGACGGACACGATGCTCGACGACTCGGAGCTGCCGGAGATGGACCGCAAGCGGGACCCGTGAAGCCGCTGGACAGCCAGGACTCCAGGACCTGCCGCGGAGGACATCTTCGCCCTGAATGAGATCAACAGGGCCGACATGGAGGTATGTTGTCCGGAGAACTCGATCCTGGGAGCTGCAGTACAGGCCCAAGGAGGGACCGTCGTCAGGTGTGGCCTCTTCAACGGCTTCGACATGGCGAGTGCGACGGGCGTTCGCAGGGCGATGCATCTACTGCGTCGGGTACGACCTCGACGACTGATCCTCGGTCCGCCGTGCACCGCGGACTGTGCGCCCCAGAACCTCAACCAGAAGACGAAGCAGCAGCGGGATGAGCTCACGAAGAAGGCACGTAGGGCCTGGCGAATCCAACGAGGATGTCAGTCTCTCTACGATGAAGCCAAGAAGCTCACGGACTGTCACACGGATCTGGAACAGCCATTGAACCGCCGCAGTTGGTCGAGATCACCAGCCATCAAGCAGATGAGGAACGAGATGCGCGTGTCTGTCGCGCACGGATGCGCGCACGGGTTTCGAGACGTCCGGAGCGGGCTTCTGATGAAGAAGGCCTGGAGGATATGCTCGACTGACCCGGAGTTTGCCCGGAAGGTCGGCCGACGCTGTTCGAACCGACCTGGACGCGCCGATAGCCATGAACACCGACCTATCGAGGACGGTCAGGTGGTTGCGCAAACGGCGTTCTACCCTCCCGCCACGTGCCGGACCTGGGCCAAACACATCCTGCAGAAGAATGGCATTGCGCACTACGGCATGGAGATCTTCGCGGCCCTGGACCAGATCACCGAGGATGACGCGGAGATGGGCGCTATCTCGGACGAGAAGTTCCCAGAAGGGGGGCGACGCCGAGGAGGCCGAGGAGACAACGTTCAAGGGACTTGGCCTCGATACCGACCTCACCAAGAAGGAAGAGGTCGAGATCGAGCAGAGATTGGCACGACTACATCTGAACCTTTTTTTCATCCCAGAAACAAGACGCCCTACGAGATACTGAAGGTTCAGGAGCTTCGGTGACCGCATTACGACAGGCTCTCCGATTCCACTGCCACGGGTGTCATGCGGGACAACTTCCGAAAGCAGTACGTGTGGCTTCGGGTGTCGAGATACCTACCCCACTGGAAGTCCTAGCCTCGGATGGTTTCGAATGGCTTCACCCTTCCCAGACGTCCCACATCATGGCGCTGAACCTGGACGAGGGATCCGGCCTGACAAGTGTGACCTATCACGGACAGACAGACGAGAGGAGCGGCAACATATCCGCCGCAGAGGTCATCAACGCCTGGGAGTCGTGGAACAGCCACCACAGGCGACCGACACTACGTCGACTGGACCCTGAGGGGCGCCACTGCTCTCAAGCGGTGGCCAAGTGGACCTCGGACCGGGGCATCGAGCTCTGGATCGCCCCCGGGGAAGCCCACTGGCTGATGGGCAAGGTGGAGCGCCAGGTGCAGGTGTTCAAGAGGTTCCTGACCAAGCTGGCCACCCTGGACCCCGAGTGCCCGGTGAAGGAGCTGATATCCTGGGCCGTGAGCGCAATCAACTCCATGGATAAGGTCGGGAACCACTCCCCGCTCGAGCACGTGATGGGCGTCACCGGGACGCCCGGGTCCAACAACCCTTTCGCCATCGTCGATGGGGGCAGCGGGGAGACCCAGGAACAGAGGCGCCTCTTAGCCAGGAATAGCTTCTTGGAGTGAGAGTATGCCGAGAGACGCCGACACGCAGAACAAGCCCAGCCGCGTCTACCAGATCTGGAACCCTGCCGACCTGGTGCACCTATGGCGACAAGGCAAGGGCCGGGAGAACCGACCCGGGAAGAAAGGCGGATGGCATGGCCCCGCGCGAGTTCTGGTGCAGGAGAAGCGCCACGTTGATGACCGAACAAAAGTGACGTCTGTCGCATGGGTCGCTCACGGGAACGTTATCTTTCCTTGCGCGCCAGAACAACTCAGACCAGCCTCGGACGCCGAGAAGATGATCACGGAATTCCAGAGGCAGGCGAACCTGGGCAAGATCATGACCGAGATTCTGGAAAACGTCAAGGCCAGCACGTTCGAGGACCTCCCTAGACCGTCAGGATCTTCAGGCCTACGAGCCCCCACCTCAATCGGAGACTGCAGGTGCCGACACGGCGGAGGAGGTTCCTGAAGAACCACTTGACGAACCCATGGAGGAACTTCCACTTGCTGGACCTGCACAGGGACCTGAGGGTTCCCGAAGCTCGACGCCTCAGCCTGAGGCAGAGCCGGGTGACCTGAGTTAGACCTGTACACACCGCCAGAGAAGCGCAACAGGGTCAACGACTCGAACGCCGAAGTGGTAGATCGATGCGTTAGAGGACGAGGCGAACCTGCTGGTGGACCTTCCAAGACAAGCTGGACATCAGCCTAAGAGAGAACGAGCACCATACAGTCTACTTCGAGTACCTCACGGAGGAGAACACCACCGAGGGCGGGAACGCGAACCTGATGAGCCACGTATTGAACAGCTTCTTGGTCAACCAGCGGCGGAAGGACAGGGTAGAGCTCACCTGGTCCAAGATGAATTACGACGAGCGGAAGGAGTAGGTGGCGATCGCCCAGGAAACCCAGAACTGGGCACAACATCAAGGACTACGTCCCGTCCCAACGTCTCGGGCCAAGGACGGAGCCGACGTGATCAGGGCAAGGTGGCTTTTCACACGGAAGGCCGACGGCCGCGCCAAGGCAAGGCTGGCCCTCGGCTATCAGACGAAGGACCTGGGTAAAGAACCAACAGCCAGCCCGACAGCGTCGAGACGGGCTCGGAACGTGATGCTGACGGTGGCGGCCGCAAACCACTGGAAGCTGATCAAAGGAGACGCGACGTCTGCCTTCCTGCAGGCCCGCGAGTTCGACAAGGACCTTTTCATCGAGCCCGACGACGTCCTCAAGAAAGCGTTCAACGTGAAGGAGGGGGAGGTGCTGCAGGTGCTCAAGCCGGGGTACGGGATTGGCGAAGCTCCCCGACATTGGTGGGAGACAGTCAAGGCGGACTTTGCACGACTCGGACTCCATGCCTGCGAACTCGAGTCATTCCTCTGGACGCTCAGGTGCTCGAAGACCAACAAACTGATCGGCATGGCCATGGCGCACGTGAACGACTTGATCTTATCTGGTGACAAGTCGCATCCCGTGTGGACCAGCCTGGTTCAGAAGATTCGTGGCCTCTACAAGTGGGGCACCTGGGGGGACATGAAAGACGGCCTCTCTAGCCTGGAGCGATGCGGGGTCATGGTCGAGGAAAACGAGAAGGGGTTCTTCCCACACCAGAACGCCTTCGTCGAGAAGATCACCGAGCTTACACTGGACAGCTAGGGGCGCCGGATCTCGGACAAGCTGAGCGACTTTGATATGACGGTCCTGCGGGAGTTTTGTGGCAAGGTATACTGGCTGGGAATGAACACGATGCCCTTCGTTCTGTCGTGGGTGGCCGAGCTCCAGTCGAATATCCCAAAAGGAACATGCCAGCTCTACTCGGCCGCGAACAGCATCGTCAAGCTCATCCACCAGCATAAGCACCTGGGGATTCAAATTCACCGAAGCGACCTGGACGATCTGGCTGTCTTCACCTGGTGCGACGCAGCCTTGGCGAGCCGACCGGACGGACACTCTCGGGGTGGACACCTGACCGCGCTCTCGACGACCAAGGCCATGGACGGCGAGAAGGCGCAGTTCACGGCGTCGGACTGGGGCTCGAAGAAGCTACGCCGCGTGGCCAGATCGAGTCTCGCAGCAGAAGTGCAGGAAGCTGGCGACGCAGAAGGAGAGTAATGCGTGGTGCGACATGTGATGGCGGAGATCCTCTTCGATTGTTCACCGACGCGGAATCGCGTGGAGGCCCTGAAGCCAGCGCCGGCGATGCTCGTGACGGACTGCAAGGCCTTCTATGACGGAGTGGTGCGGTCCCAGTCTGCTGGCCTGGGCCTCGAGGAGCGCCCGACCGCCATCGAAGCGCTCGCGCTCAGGAGCGCCCTCGACGAGGGCAAGACGGCTGTCTGGTGGGCCCACTCACGCTCAGGTCGCGGACGGGCTCACGAAGGGCAATTGGCAGCCCTTCGGAGTGCTCACGCCGTTCCTGGAGAAACAGGAGTGACGCATGATCTACGACGAACACTTCCTGAGCGCCCGGAAGCGGGCTACACGGGGCAAGGGTATCTTCGACCCAACACTTCCTGAAGATCCAGCGGCTGCCAAGGCGGCCATCGAGAAGCGACGACTGGCCCGGCTACAGGAGAGCCGAGTGCCTCAGGCCCCGCCGAGCGAGATCGGCGACATCCAGATCATGATCCAGAATCTTCAGGCCGAGATCGACGGGCACCAGAGGCAGTTCGCGCTACTCCCGACATGATGACGAGGCTCACGCCACTCCGATCCACGTCTGAGTCGCCGAGGGCGACGGTGCACGTGGCAACTCTTGTTCCCCCTGTCTGAAAGTAGCGCTGGTGCAGGCAGTACCCTCCATTCCTCCCCTTTCCGTCTCTGCCTCTCCCCCTGCTGTTGCTTGCCGCGTCTCACCTTCTCTTTCACTGCCCATCCTGGCTCAAGGGATTGGTGGGCGGGGTTTTCACGAGATGCCCGGCGTGCCGGGAGACGGCCGCGCATAGGGGTGCACGGCGCCTGATTTAGAGAGAAGGAAAACAGGTTTTCTTCAGCATTGACATTGCCATTATCATGATAATCGTTCACAGCACTTTGTACATTGGCACAGAGCTCATCGAGGATTGCATCATCAGCGTCATAGAGACCCTGTAGAGCTCTGTGGGATTCAGACCCCCCCCCTCCCCCCCTTCCCCGGCAGAGCCCCCCCGGCCCCCCCCATCAGAGTTGAAGCTCAGGTTGCAGGCTGTAGGCTGCGGCTTTTTCAAACTCACACGCCGGATCGGCTGATTTGTTTGCGCCTCTAAAATAATAAATAAAAAAACATACACGATTTGATCAACCAACCCCGAGGATATGTGTGGTTTTCGATTTCGTATGCGCTGTTTGCCGCATCTGTTCGGGATGCCTGCGTGCACTTAGTGACGATTTGATCATCCTCTTCGTGCGCTGCTGTTGCCGGGTTTCTTGGGGGCCTTTTGGATGCCTCGGGCAGCCTCTTGGGAGCCTTGTTAGGGCTCCCATGGCTTTGGGGGGGGCCCTCTGGGGGCTTTTTGGGGGCCTCCGGGGTCATGTTCGGGGTCTTGGTGGCCATCTTGTGGGAGGGGGTTTCTTGGGGCCCGTTTGGAGGCTCTGTTGGCCGACTTGCGGACATTTTTGGCCGTCTTGGAACAAATTCGGGCCGTCTCATGGCCCTCTTGGGGACCTCTTGGGCACCTCTTGAACCCTCTTGGCTCGGTGTGGGGAGGCTCGTGGGCCGTCTCTGGTTAGCAAAAGCCCAAGAAGGCGAGAACGCGAAAATCAACATATATATATATATATATATATATATATGTGAACTCATCGGAAATCAACGGATGTGTGCATCATGGGGCAAGTCCTCTTGAAACCCTCCTGGGGCGTCGTGGGTGCATGGTGGGCCACCTTGAAACCATAGTGGGTGTTGAAGCCTTTTCCATCGTGATGGAGCACTTGCTGAGCCATCCTTAGAAGACACCTTGGGCATCTTGGAGGCAACAAAGGGTGGATTTGGAGGCTCCGAAGGCCTCACGGGTGCACTCACGAGCTCGTCCCCCCCCTTGTTCGTCGTACCCCCTCCTAGACTAGCATGCGGACCCTTCGGGATGGGAAAGGGGAAGGGAGACAGCGAGTTACCTCACAAGCCTTTTCACCCCAGTTCATCGGGGGTCGGCGGACTCATGATATTGGTACCACTTGGGCTTACATGGGAAGTTTCAGGGCCATTGTGGAGTCATCTTGGGACCACATGGGTCCTCGTGGAGGTCATGTTGGATCATGTTGGTCCACACTTTGGTGCCTACGCAAGGCCTGGTCGGCAATCTTTGAAGCCTCCAGGGCTCCTGAGTGGCACCGCTCCCCCTCGCCTCGCCCCTGGGGAGACGTGGAGAGAGGGAACGGGGGGAGGGGGACAGCCAAGCATCTCGCACGCCGAATGTAGCCACCCCAGGCAAAAGTGGGTTGACACATTTTGGTATGGTTTGGTCTCGTCTGTTTCGTTTTTTAGTTGTCAGGGCAGAGTCAGTTGCGTGATGGGGCTTCTAAGCCCCAGGGCATCTCAATCAAAATGCAAGAGTGGAAATGAAGCGCGGAATGCTACGGCAAACGTCCGGCACAAAGAAACGTCACCTTGCAGGAGGAGGTGGGCGAAGAGGCAGGAGCAGTACGAGGAAGACGAATGATGAGGATGAGGGGTTCACACGTACATTCACTATTGATTCTGAACCGCTTGGGGATTTGGTCAGGTTTGTGCAAGGCAGTCCAGGATTTCAATGGGTTTTTTGTCTGGACAGATGAGGCGCCCTGGCATTTGGACTTCGTGGACTTCGGCTGGATGTGCCTCGGTGGGCATGGGTGACTGCGCGGAAGCCCAGAGTAAGCCCTTCTTGGTGTCTGGGATGTTTGTTGGGCGGGGCGAAATTATCGACTACGTAAGACCAAAACCTTTGATCTTCAAATGAATGCTCTAATATCGTGCAGTCTTTTCATATTGCAGTTCGGATCAGCACAACTTCACATCTCGCTGGGTCGGCCGACTAGCGACACCCTGCGTCCGAATTCCCCTCTGCTCGGAGTGAGGAGACCCCTGCGCCCAACATCTTCAATCTTATGCCCCCTCGCCGTGGACTCGCGCGAGAGACTCTCACCATCATCTCCGTTGCTTCCTGGCCAGTCTGCACATGGAATACGTGGTGATGGCATCTAACACGCCAGTGGCCGCGTTGGGCCAGCCGATTTCTGGCGGGCCGCCCGAACCATAAGTAATCGGATCTTTTTTGCCCCGTGCAAGCCATGCCGCGCTTCATCTTGGCATGGATCAACGCGGCGCTGCTCTTCGGGTGTGTGTGCGGCCATCAGTTGCAGAGTGCGCAGCCTGGTCAAATCGACAACAGCGCATGCAAGACCACCTGCCACCGCTTCGGCATGCAATCGCTGGGCGAGAAGTTCAAGGGCATCGACGACCCGGTCAAGTGTTGTGACGTGTGCGATGAGGTGTACCCCGAAGGAGGCGCCGCGAGGAAGACCGGATCATCGCCCTCCTCGGTTATGCAGGAGTTGAAGGTGGCGGGCATGGACCAGAACAAGTGCAAGGTCGCGTGCCAGCGCTTCGGCATGAGGTCTCTGGGCCCAGCGTTCAAAGGCATCAAAAGCCCAGTGGCCTGCGTGTCCAAGTGCGAGGAGGTGTACCAGTGAATCATGGAAGCCTCAAGCTCTGCATAGTTGTCAGTGAGAGGGGTGGCGATGCCTGCCCCCAGCAGCCAGTTCGAATCCCTTCGCGCTGGTCGCGCCTTCAACATACTTTTGACGTCAGCATCTGATGTCGAAGAGCAGGGAAGCGCTTACCTGGGAAGGGAAGAGGAAGAGTTGGCCTCCAGCCAGGCTAGAACAGGAGGCACTTTTCTGGTTGCGCCACTTCCCACTTGTTGATTTGTTTTGTGCTTCCTGTCCTAGTCCTTGTCTTTGTCATGTTTGCTACTTTTCCTTTTCAATCGAAGCACTGGTGTTTCTCATTTAGACCCCAAGTTGGCCTCGTGTCCATCATTATCCTTGTCTTGGTCCTTCGCCCGATCCGCATTCTTTCCCTCCATGTCCTCTTCCCCTTCCCTTTTTCCCATCTAATCCCCCTGCTGCTCCCTTCCTTGCCTCATATTTCTTTCCCTCTATTGAAGAACTGATGTTCTCAGCGCAACACTTAAAACAACACCAGATCTTGACCCTGCAGAGCGGGAGTCATTGCGGGCCCCTATGTGGCAAATAGAATGCACATGTGGCGTTGCAGCATGTCGCGGGGCCGCCAGGGGAGGCGGGTGGGGGGGACGAATATCAGGAGAAAGAGGAGAAGAGAGAATATGTCGAATGGGAAAAGAGGAGGAGGAGGAGGAGGAGGAGGAGAACAAGGAGGAGGAGAACAAGGAGGAGGAGGAGGAGGAGCCCTCTTGGTGGCATATTGGAGCCCTCTTGGCGCCTCCTAGGTGCATCATGGAGCCTTTGGGGGCCTCTCCAGGGCCTTTGGGGGCTTCTTGGGAGCCTCTTCAGGCCTCTTGCTGCCCTCTTGGGCTGTCTTAGGGCGCTCCTGGCCCGTCTGAAGTCGTTGGAGACCGTCTTAAGGAACTCCTCTGGGCTCTCGTGTAGAGGCTTCTAGCACGCCTTCGGAGACCGTCGTGGATACCTCTTCGCCTTGTAGCGCATCTTATGACGCTATTGGGGAGCTCTTGTGGCCGTCTTGGCGCCCTGATGGCTGGTCGTGGGGCTTCCTGAAACGATGTTTGTTTGGGCCATTTTGAGGTCTCAGAAGCCCATCGCAAGCGGAAGGGCGAGGAGGCAAACATCATGTGCTTCACGCATGAGTTACCATTATTGTGGCCTGTCGGGGTCGTCCTGGGGAGGTCCCGTGGCCACTTCACTTAAAGCCATCTTGGAGCGGTCGTGGGGCCTTGGGGGTATACTAGATGGGCAATATTGCAGCAAATTGTGCCATATTGAGTGCCCTGACCCCTCGCTGAGCGCCCCCGCCTGGCCCAGGGGTGGGGGCAGAGGAGTACGGTCAGGAACTTTGGCTTAGCGTGTCGCTCCGCCGGTTCTGGCCCATGACGCTTCGACGCGACACGCTGTCCACGTCCCCATTTCCGAGCATCAGCGAAGAGGATTAAGCTGAGCAGGCCCATGAGGGCACAAGAGTCCGCTTGCGGCTCTTTCGAAAGGAGGGCGAGGAGGCGGGGAGGAATCGAAAAGACGGCGCGCAAAGAGAAGATGAAATTGACGGAATACGGTCTCACTCATCTTTTAGCGACCCCCGGGTGATATGATAAGCATGGGTGGGCGGAGGATGGGGAAGCAGGAGGAGAAGGAGGACGAGGATGAGGAGGATCAGGGGGAAGGAAAGGAAGATGATAATGGGGAATCGATGGAGTGGTTCATCTTAAAACGATCCCCTGGCGAGTTGTCTTCACCAGACACGCGTATGAACGTGCAGTAGAAAAGAGGGATAGAGAGTGAGAGAGAGTTTTTTGCTGCGAACATCTGATTAGCAAACAAGCGAGAGAGAGAGAGAGACCGTATTGGCCAGAACGGGCACGTTCGTCGGAGGTTTGAGTCAGACCAACGAGCTGTGAGCACTCCTTGGGCTCGTGACCTACCCTGACCTGGACCATAATTGCCATGGAAGCAGACCTGAGCATCCTCGAAGGAGAACACCAAGGTGGAAAGGATGATAATCATGACATTTCTAAAGGGTGGGTCGAGAGAGAAGAGAGAGAGGCCCATCACATGCGCGGACTGCTCATGGTCGGTGCTGGTCTGGTGCAGTATTAGAGCCCATCACGGCCCAATCCGTGGCTGTTCAGTTCTTGGAGGTTGGTGGAGTAAGTGGGAAGGCTGGGGGAGGGTTCTCACAACAAAGGTGGGTGGATGTGTATATATATAGAGAGAGAGAGATATGTGTATACATATATATATATACACATGTATGCATGTGTATACACACATATAAATATGCATATACATACTGGGCTACAGGAGGGGTGTCCTGCCAGCTGCGCCGCGTCGCCATGGGCGCAACGGGCCTCCGGGAGCCGTCCCGGAGGAGCCCAGTGCAGCCCCCGTTCACCAAAATAGCGACCCAAGACGCCCAAGAAAGCCTCTGGACAGCCCAGGATGCCTCCAAGACGCCCACGAAGCCGCCGAAAACCTGTCCAAGAGGCCCCGAGGGCCGAATTCCGTGCATTTGTCTGAGGGTTGCTGCCGGATGTTCACGAGTGTGCGTGTCCAGCTCCAGTGCAATCCGAAACGGCCCCAGACGCTCCCGAGTTCGCTCTGAGACGGCCGGGAAATTCTTGACGCTGCGAGTTTTCCCACCCGCCCATCCACAAACGATGCGAGTTGCCTTGATCAGGGAAGCGGAGGAGCATGCAGTGGATCAAGAGCTGGGGAAATTGAAGCCTTGGATCAGCCTGCGCAGACCTAGGAGCGAACCGTATGCGCCTTCTCAGACCTGCCGAATGAGGAAAGGCGGGGAAGAAGGACGAGGGGGATGAGGAAGAGGATGAGGAGGAGGAGGAGGAGGAGGAGGAGGAGCAGGAGGAGGAGGAGGAGGAGGATGAAAAGGAGGAGGAGGAGGAGGAGCAGGATGAAGTGGAGGAGGACGAGGAGAAGGAAATGGAGGAGGCGGATGAGGAGGAGGAGGAGGAGGAAGAAGAGGAGGAGGAGGAGGAGGAGGTGGGAGAGGGGGAGGAGGGAGGAGGGAGGGGGAGAAATAGGCGGATGAAGAAGAGGAGGAAGAGGAGGAGGAGAAGGAGGAGGAGGAGGACAATGACGAGCTTGGGGGCTTCTTGGGGCGTCTTGGGGGCATCTTGGCGGTCCCGGAGGCCTCTTGGAGCGTCTTGGGTGCCTCGGGGAGCCTCTTGGGGCCTCTTGTGGGTCTCTTGGGAGCCTCTTGGAGGCCTCTTGGGCGCCTCTTGGGGGCTCCTGGGCGCATCTTGGGGCCCTCTTGAAGCCTTCTTGGGAGCCTTGGGAGCTCTTGGGGTCATCTTGGAGGAGATCGATCAGAGAAGGGGGGAGCTTTAATTACGCCAGCAAGTCACCTCTTGGAGCGCTTTCTTGGGGCCCTCTTGGACCATCTTGGAGCCACCTTGAGGCCTCGGAAGACCATCGAAAGCAGAAAGGCGAGACAGCGAAGATCATTGATTGTCCTTAGCTTATTGAAGGATGTTGGTCTCTCGGCGGCCCCCTGGGGAGGCTCTGTGGCCACTTGGAGCCGTCTTGGAGCGGTCTTGGGGCTTCTTTGAGCGTCTTGGGAGCCATACTGAGCCATCTTGGGCTATCTTGGGACGTCTTGGAAGTCATCTTGGGCTCTCTGAGGCCATCTTGGAGCCATCTTGGGCCATCTTAGATGCTCTGACCGTTCGCGGGGCGCCCCGCCCAGGTCCAGGGGAGGGGGCAGGGGAGTCAAGACACCCTCCTAGATAGCAAGCCGTCTAGCTCACTCGCACCCGCCCTCCCAACACATAAGGAACACCCGAGCCTCAGTATGCTCAGCGGTCGTCTTTGGATGGACAGCTACTGGGAACCAAAATTGAGCCCACGTGCGCGACGCTGGGGCGAGGTGCGCCACGCGTGCTAGGCGCGCCACGCGCGCCAGGCACCCTCAGGGCCCCAGCGTGCCAGGCACGCCTGGTGCGCCAGATGCGCCACGTGCCTCCGCGTGCGCCACGTGTGCCGCATACTCCAGCCGCGCCAGGTGCGCCACGTTCGGGGCACGTGCAGAGTGCCGGCCCGCACCATCCATGTCGAAAACCAATGCCCATCATTGTGTCTGGTGGGCTTGCGCACGGCAGGCCATACGCCACCACTTGACAGTGATCGCGGGGTGGCCGCGCATGATCCAGATTTAGCCGCGAGGTGCATTGTGTATTGTTTTTTGTCATGGATGGTAGCCCTGCGCGCAACAGGCAATATGCTGACACCCCCGCCGTCCATGTCAAAAGACAATGCAAAGTTCTCGCGGGCCTCACGAACATGATTCCAGACTTTGGCCCAAAGTGCATTTTTCTGTGTTTTTTGAAAGGGATGGTGGTCGGGGGCCTCATGGGGTCCTCATGCTGCCGGTCGCCTGGGGGAGGGGGTGTATATCAATAGGGAACAATGATAAACCCTTCCCCGAAGGAGAAGAAAGGGGTTGGAATAGGAGCCTGCCTAGACCACCTACGCCCAGAGGGCTCTGGTAATTTCCAACACGGCCCAAAATCAGCCCCAGAGGGCCTCCAGCCCTCCCGCGAAGCCGCCAACCAGCCCCTCAGACCTGCCCAACACGATCCAGGGAGCCCCTCCTTGCTAGAACAGCGACCCAAGACAGCCTCCAGACAGCCTCCAGACAGCCCAAGATGCCTCCAAGACGCCCCAAGAAGCCGCCGAAAATCTGCCCAACCTGGCCCAATGGCCGAATTCGTGCATTTGCTCCGAGGGTTGTTGTCGGATTTTCACATGTGTGCGTGTGCAGCTCCGGTGTAATCCGGAACGGCCACAAAGGCCCTCCACTTCGCTTTCAGACGGCCACGGAGGCTTCTAACACGGCCCGAAAACAGCCCCGGATGGCTCCAACAGGGACCCCGAAGCCGCCAACCAGCTCCCCCGAATGCCAAACACGATCCAGGGATGCCTCCCATCGCCAAAATGATAGCAACTCCGGACGCCCAAGACAGCCTCCAGGCACCCCATATGCCTCCAACGTGCCCCAACAAGCCGCCGACAACAACATGCCCAAGGAGCCCCGAGAGCCGAATCCCATGCAGTTGACGACGGTTTCTGAACGATTTCTGACGGGTCTCAAACGGGCTCAAGCTCGCCACGAAGCCGCCGTCAAGCCCCCCAGTGTCCAAAACGGTCCAAAGAGCCTTCCCCTCACCCGACGTGAAGCCCCCGAGATTTGTCCACAAAAGCCTAGCGTGTGTCCAAGACGCCCCAGGAAGCCCCCTTCAACGTTCCCATGAGCACATCAAGGCGGCCGCAGAGGGCCTCGAGACAACCCAAGAGGACCCCACGACTGCCCAAGAGGACCCCGCGAGGCTACCAAGGCAACGGGGCCCCAAGACCCCATGAAAACCCAGTCAGGCCCAGAGCCCCCCATGACGCCCCAGAACAGTTCCATGACGGACGAAGAGGACTTCGACCATGATGGCGATGACGATGGCGAAAATGTTGATCGTGTCCAGGATGTTGATGGTGATGATGTTGATGTTTTT